TCTTTCTATTTTTTTGATGTGTGTGCGGAGAGTTATAAATTCCCCTCTTAGTATTGATTTCATGGCAACCCAGAGGTTTTGGTTAGATGTATTTTTGTTTTCATTTGTTTCCAAGAATCCTTTAATTTTATTTTGATTTCTGTGTTGACCCAGGATTTGTTCAGCATCATGCTGTTTAGTGTCCACGTCTTTGTGTGTTTAGGGGGGTTTTGTTTGTGGTGATATTTATTTTTCTCCCACTGTGGTCTGAGAAGGTTGCATGGTATTATTTCAATCTTATGGAATTTGTTTATACTTGATTTATGGCCGATGATGCGGTTGATCTTGGAGTATGCTCCTTGTGATGATGAGTAGAATGTATATTCCATGGTTTTTGGATGGAGTGTTCTGTAGGTATCTAATAAGTCTATCTGGTAAAGTGTCAAGCTAAGGTTTCAGATCAACTTATTGATTTTTTTTGCCTTGATGATCTATTTAGAGTCATTAGTGGGTTATTTAAGTCCCCAGATATAATAGTGTTGGAATCAGTATCCTTTTTTAGTTTTCTTAGTAGTTTCTTTATAAATCCAGATGCTTCTGTGCATATATATTTAGGTCCAGATTTATTTAAGATGGATATTTCTTGTTGATGGATTGAAATTTTTATCATTATGTAATATCCTTTTGTATCTTTTAAAATTTTTGATAGCTTGAAGTTTGTTTTGTCTGATATTGAAATCATGACTCTTGCCTTCTTTTTTCTGTTCACCTGTAAGTTTTTTTTCATTGTTTAACTTTGAGTCTGTGGGTATCCTTTATAGTAAGATGTGTTTCCTGGAGGCAACAGCATATTGTTGGGTCCTATTTTTTAATCCAATTTGCCATTTTATATCTTTTCAGTGGTGCTTTTAATCTACTGACATTTAGGCTGATGATTGCAATGTGAGAGTTTATCCCTGTCATGAGGCTCTTATAAGGCTGTTTTGTTTTCTTTTAACTTTTGGGTTGATATATGTTTGTGTGTTGTAGTCGTATATTATGTTGTGTTGATTCTATGTTTTCCTGCATTCTTGGGTAATGCGTGGTTGTTCTTTCTTCCTTTTTTTTTCTTCTGTGCTTAATACCTTCTTGAATGTCTCCTGTAGAGCTGGTCTGGAAGCAGCATAATCTTTTAGGGATTGGATGTCTGGGAAGGATTTTAATTATGCATCACTGATGAAGCTGAGCATGGCTGGGTAGAAAATTCTTAGTTGAAATTGTTTATCTTTGAGGGCTTTGAAAATTGGACTCCAGTGCCTTCTAGCTTGTAGTGTTGCTGCTGATAAGTCTGTTGTTATTGTAATTGGCCTTCCCTGGTAATCTGACCTTTCCCTTCTGCTGCCTGCAGGACTTTTTCTTTTATACCTTCTTTGTGTAGGTGAATTACTATGTGTCTAGTGGTTGGTCTTCTCATTTGATATCTTGTGGAGAGTTCTCTGAATCTCTTGTGTCTGGATGGTTGCATCTCTGGTGAGATAGGGAAAGTTTCCTTGGATAACCTCCTGGAATACTTGCTCCAAGGTGTTCTCCATTTTACTTTCTTCTTCTTGGTTACTGAACAGGTGTAAGTTCAGCCTCTAAATGTAATTGCACATCTCTTTGAGTCTTTGTTCTTTCTCAGTTTTCTTTCTATGTTTTTAACAGTTAGGGTTAATTCCATATTTTAATCCTCAAGCTCTGAGATTTTTTCTTCTTCTTGGTCGATTCTGCTTTCTATGCTTGTCCTCTTGTTATTTATTTCCTGGATGAAGTTTTTATGGCCAAAATCTCTGTTACAAGTTATTTCACTGTTGCATCTTGTCTTTCTGGAGTCTTATCACTCTTTCCAGCCATTCCTAAATCCCTGTTGTACTCTGGGGCCAATCGTTGGTGATTTCCATTGTTTGGACTCTGAGGTCTGATACTTTGGGTGTTGTCTCTTTGGCACACTGGGAATTACCTGTGTTCTTCCTTTGATTTTTCCTCATTTGTGACAGATCTCTTTATTTCCTCTTTAATTCCATTATTCAATGGTAGTGTGGGGGGGGGGGGGGGGGGGGAGGCTCAGCCTTCTATTCTGCCCTGATCAGAGCCTCCAGATTTGTTCTGTTTTGCAACAGTGCTGGGGGTGGGATGTTTTGCTGTATCTTATAGCTGTGAGAGTCGAATAAGGTAGAGGGTGGGGTGCTAGGATTTAGAAACTACTTGTAAGTTACAATGTTCACTGACTGGTGTATGGACTTCCTGAGACCCACTCCTCATCACCACTCTATATGATGACACAATGGATATGTATGTGTGTACTCCCTGAGTCCAAGATAAAGTAACAGTAATGGGGAGAACTGAGAAAAGTAGAATAAAATAGAATGGACAAAGATAATAAAAAATAAAATCAACCACAGATAAACAAAAGCAAGAACAATAACAAAAAAACACAAAAAGAAAACAAAAAACAAAACCAATGGAAAAGAAAACACACAAAAAAATAAAAAACAGAAAAACTGAAAACACACACACACACACACACACACACACACACCCAAAAACAAAAGAGGAAGAAGAAGGGAAAAAAAACAGGAGGGGAAATGTAAACCAAACCCTTTCACACACAAAGACTAAACCAAAACAAAATAAGAATAAAAAAGAAAACAATAATTAAAAAAGAATTTCTGAGCACTAACCACCCTTTTGTGGCAGGTTCTATAATTATTCCTCTCAGCTGCTCACAGGTAAGCCCTTCTGCCATCTCCTGTGGGGCTGCAGGCTCATTCACAATTGCCCTGGCATGTGGCCCAGGGGGTGAGGAGGGGGTCAGTGTAGGTGAGTGGGGTGGGGTGCCGTCCTCTCCTCCCACTCTCATAAGGTCAGAAGGATCTCCTCTGATCGGGAGGTACATGATTGTCTCCTCTCCAGGTGTTGGTGGTGGGTGCCCCAGCCAGGCTTATCCTAGAGTAGAATTTTCCTAGTGTGGCTGCCATCCAGGCTCCACCTGGGTTCGTCCTTCTCAGTTATGCCCCTGTTGTGTGGACCTGATGTTCAGAGGATTGCTGGAGAAGAGGGGGTTGGGTCAACCCAGGACTTACAACTGATCTCTTGAGGGGGGTCTTCCTTGTCCTTTTTTGTTCACACCTTTTGTCCCATGGCTGCATCAGGGTTGGGGATAGGGTGCCTGAAACTCCATTCCAATCCTGCCCCTCTGAAGTTTTGCTTTTGGGATATTCACTATGGGTCACAATCAACCCCTGAGTAGTTAACCTGCCCACCACAGAGAGAGGGACTGTTGTTCCATGGTGAACAAGTCAGAGCACTTTTCTGCCCAGTTTTTAAGATGGTGGCGGGGTGCCTGTTTCATTTTCTTCAGTGAGACTCTGCCTCTGGCTCCCTCATTGCATTCCCTCTGCATCCATCACTGCCAGTGTCCCTCCTGGCTCTGCAGTGGTCAGGCAGTGTGGCAATGGCTGTCTCTCCTGGCAGCTTCTCCCTGGGAAAAGTTTTGTTGATTTTAGAAAATGGTACTTGGCTTCTGTGTCCCAGGAGGCACTAGGATCCAAGCAGAGCAGCTGCAGGCACCAGTTGCTTCACCAGGAGAGTCCTGGCCACTTGCTACCAAATCCCCACTCAGTCAGTCATTCACACGTCCACTTACAAACAGGCACACATGCAAATTTGTCCATGCACTCACTCACACAGGGACTCACACAGTCTGATTGGTTCTGCTACCATCTTTTATGTCTATATATTAAGTAAATTAAGGCTTATATATTTTACACAGCTCTAAGTTTTTTCTTCAGATGAATTTTGTTCTGTTCATTAATTGTTTAGGCTATTGCATTGAAATACTTGCAACATGAGTAGAAATGTGTTCAACAATTGCACACTTGTTATATGTTAAATAAAGTGTTATATGCATCATGGTAGGTGACAGACAAGGTGCTATGAGAGCCCATAAGTAGAAGCACCTAATGTCTGGTATGAAGGACCATGTGAGAGAAGGCTTAATGGAGGAAGGAATATTTAAGCTGATACCTTAAATAGTGCATAAGTGGCCTACAGGCATATTTTATTAAAGAGACAAAAAAATTATGGCATTTGAACTTGGCATTGAAAAGGATAATATATTAAAATATGGTATATATGAATAATCAAACCTATGACTATTAAAATTATCTTATAATTTCAAGTTTACAAGAAATAGAGGAGATAGAGGAGAAAGTAATAAATACTGTGAAAAACAGTAGGACAAATTCAAATTGTGACATATTCTAAAAGATAACTGGCCTGTACTCTTAAAAAAGTGAATATTATGAAAAAGAAAAGGACAGAGAGATTCTAGATTAAACTGTGCTGAAAGAGACTTAATAAATATAATACAATGTGTAAATTCTGAATGTGTTCTGAATTTTAAAGTACTATAAAAGACATTTTAGGGAAAACTAGAAAATTTGGAATATGGACTAAATACTAGATGATATTATGAAATATTAATTTTCTTAGGTGTGATAATTGCACTGAAGTGTATAGGAGAAGGTCCTTATTCTAAGAATATGCATTCTGAAATACTTAGAGGTGAAATGTCATGTTTGGAAAAATTGCAATGTAATAATTTCTGTAAATTTTTATTTTTTACTAGGTCACTAGTGGGATTCATAAGTATTAAACTTTTATAAAATGCTTGAATTTAATTTACCTTTTTATTGTCTGCTATTACCTATGTAAAGTTTATTATCATATGACTTGTTGACTTATTTTTTTTAATTGATCCTTATTCCTATCTTCAACTAAAATGGCAGTTCTTTAAAGACTGAGACTTTCTATTATTTACAACACTAAGGATAGTATTTGGCACATATTGGGCAATAATGAATATCTGTTGAGTAAACTAATGAATAAAGATAACCAATCTAAACCAGCCTTACTATTTTTATGCAACTCATAATACCTTTAATATTTTTAATTAGTTTTATGTTAATCAGAAAGAATAATAGGTTATTTTTTGTTTTCAGGGAAGTTGGGAAAAAAGAATTTTGAAGAGTTTAAATAGTATGTGCACTGAACTGAGTATCCCATTGGCACGAAAGGTATTTTTTAACATTTTTCTGTTTAAGTATTTTACTGTGAACCAAGTATTAGAAAGTATAATGAAGTTAAATAGCTGTTGGGCACATTTATTTATGTATTTTTACTAGTACATTAATTTGTCATAAAACAAAAATCAGTAAATGGCTATTTATGTGGGTATATTATATATTACATATAGATTTCTCTTTTGTATGCTGTTATGATTATTGATTAACCTGTATTTTTGAAAATAAATATAAATGTGAATCTATAGTATAGATGATTTAGACATTTGACTGCAAAGATTATGAGTATGCTTTTAATTATCTTTTGTCTCCTTACTTTTTGGCTAATTAGCACAACATTCATATCCTTTGAATCACAAATGGAGTTCAGTCATACTATGATCTTGTAATAGGCAGTATAGTACCATCTTTCAGTATTAACATGGGGGAAAATGAATACTTTGTTGTCTCCCTGTAGAACTGGGATACTATTTTGATATAATACTCAGCAGGTATCTGTCACTGGGCATTGATAGGAAATGGGAAAGGAAACCTCTTGAGGAATGTTCTGGATTCTTTATAGCTGCTTACAAACAGGAGAGAATCAGTTTTCATTCACTTCATTCTCCCTACTTGCTACTTATTCTTTGCTATTGGACAGGATATAGTGGATATTCTTTGGATAATATCCAAGGACAAATTGTTGAAAGCACCAGAAGAATGGTCTTAAAAAAGGATAAATTCACATGAAAAGTGGTCTAAATATGTAGGATTGTGTAATATACTGTCTTTCAAATAGGAAGATGATGCTACTGACTCACGGTCACACTCCTGTGGCCAGTCCCCCTTGTGATGCATTTCTGAGATTGTTGGATGGGGTCAGAGATGTAGTATGTGGCTGAGGAGCAATTTTTCTTTGTGAATTTTCCTGGCCGTTACAAATCATTTACCTTCTTTTCTTGGACTCATTAGCACCTTATTCTAACTGAGCCGTTGAGACTAGATGCATTGTAATAGTTAAATTATGATAATTTAAGTGTAATTTCCAAAAAAGTTCACCATTTTAATGAAATTATCTTTCCTGTTGTAGTAGTTTATTTAAACTCTTAAATAGGTTATTGATTCTTGTTTTTTGGTTGCATTGCTAAACTTAAAAAAAATGAAACCCGTTTTTAAATGACCTTTTTTAGAGGCCAGTTGGAGAACAGAAAGAACTTCTTAATAAATGGAATGAAATGGGAACTGATGAACCAGGTATGTGAAGAACTTTTTCGAAAATAGTAGTGGAAAAAGAATTGCCTTCTTAACTGTGGACCCCAAATCACATAATTAGCATTTCTCTTTGAAACATAGCAATTTCCCTCCCTATTAATTTTCTATCATCTGTTTTGTTTTTCTTAAACTTCTACTTTGCAGTTTAAAAAATTGGTTGACTTTGGTCTAGGTTCCTCATTATTTTGAGAATATTTAAATCATTTATCCTTTTTAAAAACAAAAATTTAAGACATTTTTGTTAAAGAGTAAATTAAATTTATTCGGTGAATTTTTGAGACTTGTTTTTTAATCAAGGTAAATATTTTGCAAGCTTAATTATACTGAGTTGTTAAAAATAGATTAAATCGTGAAAAATAAGTTTTCAGACTTTAAAATGTTTTTAAGAATGTATGTTCATTTTAATATTGAAAATGCAGTCAATTTTATAAACATATAATGTTAACAACTACATTCTATTTACTATGACAGATGTCTGTAATTATATAGACAGATATGTACATAACCTCTCTCCTTCCTCTCCTTCACCACTGCTAAAAAATGCATATATATATATACACACACATGCACTCATATATGGGACTAGACAAGAGTTAAGAGTCATACAGAGGAAGCAGTGGGTTCTTGAACTTCAGAAGAGAGAACAGCTTAATACAACTAGAGGAGTTTACTAAGAAAGCATTGTTCTTATTTTAAGTACTTAGAGAATTCTCATATAGAAAACCTTTACATTACACTGATATTGTTTGGTTAATTCAGCGATAAATAACTTATTACAATTTATGAATAGGATACTCTTAATTTCTCCCAGAATATGCTATCTAGGATATCAAGGAGAGAGATTATCTTTTCAGTTTTGGGTTTCCAATACTTAACAAAATATATAACCAATAATTGATACTCAGCAAATGTTTGAATTAGTCTATCTGCATAGCAACATATGAAAGAATCATTAACATTTATTATTAATAAGATTTTATATGTTATTAACTGAAATTTTGTTTCAATCTATCTTATTCTAGACTTAAGCCTTTTCAGACCTGTCTATGCACCTAAGGATTTTCTTGAGGTAGGTTCTATTGGATAAATATCGATGAAAGCATAACATGAAAGAAATGATTATGTAAGAATATCTGCAGACAGAGGTATCACCATGTAAAAATCCCTAGAACTATTGAAGCAGTGGAATAACATGATCAGATCTGTGTTTGGAAATTGCTCATGGAAAATATATTGGAATACAGAAAAATTAGAGTCAAGTAAAACCACTAGGAAGATTTTGATTTAAAAACAGTAACTGTGAATCATATAGCTTGCTGCCTGGCACATACAGGTGTTCAGTACATCTTTTTCTTTTTTATATCCTCCCCGTTCTAGTAGTCCAGACAAAACATGTTGAGCCAAGAGAACAGCATTGGAAATGGAAGGAATTTGACAGATTTGAAGGACATTTTAAGGAATATTTGGAAACTGATTAGATATGGGGATAATGAGAAAGAGAAAAGATATTCATGGCCTTCAAAGGGTCTAGATTGTGTAACTGTGCAGAGGCTACTTGCCTTGAGATAGAGAATACAGGAAGAGGAACAGGTCTGCTGGTGAAGACAGCAAGTGGAGTTAACTTTAAGAGACATATCAATTATTCAAGTGGAACTTTCCAGTAGGCACTTGGAATCCATTATTTTAATTCACCCATCTTTGATTTTACTCTTTCTCTTGGACCTTGCATCTAATTCTGTCAGCTTTACCTTCAAAATATATCCAGAATCCATCCACTTCTTGTCACCACCACTACTGCATCCCAGCTACCATGTCTCTTGTTTAGACTAGGCTCCTACTGGTCTTCCTATTTCTCCCTTTGCTCACCTAGAATTGGTTTAGTGCAGCCTCTGGAGGGAGGCCTTTAAATGCATTTCAGAATAAGCCACTCTTCTGTTACCCAGTGATATCCAGTGACCTAGAACTCCCTGTTTTACTTGATACCCCTTACCTCTCTGAACTTGTCTATTATCTTCCTCTTGATTTGTCCTCCTCCAACCACTTTAAACCCTCTTGCTTACATCTGGCTTCCTCCCAGCTGAGAGCCTTTGCTTTTTGTTTTCTCTGCTTGCTATGAGTTTTTCCCAAATATCTGCCTGTACATTCTCTTGCTACTCATGCTTTTGCATAAATGTCACCCTCTCTGCAAAGTCTTCCTCGGCTCTCCTGCTTGGAGCTCCTCATACCCCTGTTCAGCTTTGTTTTTCTCCATAGCATTTATCATTATGTACATAACATGCTATTAATTTATTTTGCTTATTGCTTGCCTTCTTTCATTAGAATGGAAGTTCCATAGTGACAGAGTTTTTCATTCTATCCTGTTCCCTCCTGAAACAGTTACACAGGGTCAGATGTTGCCAATACTCATAAGACTTCATGGGGTACACCCACACAAGGCTTTCTTTCAGCAAGAGAAAAACATATGCAAACACAAAGAGATTCACACTTCCCGTAGAGGTCCCAGAGCCCTTTCTCAGTTATACAAGATAATGCGTCATGAACCATCAAGATATTTTGATCTAGGGAGCCAAAGCACATATTTTTTTAGGGGTCTTTTGTACCCCCACTGGTTAAATCAGATGCAAACCACCAATCTACATTTTCAATAAACAGTGTAAACAAATGTCTGTGGAATGCCTCTAGGGGAGTTTTGGATATTCAGTAGCACTTTATAAATGACTAGTTAGTCCATTTTACTCCATCTTGGTCAAGGGTCACTACTAGACTTCCAAGTATTGCTGAAGATAAGCATAGTGCTACTACAAACTAGTTTTAAGTTAATCCTATCCTGAACTGCACTGTCCTTCAACAGGTAGGACAGTATTTTGCACAAAGCTGCTCAACAAATATTTATTCATGAATGATTAAATGAATAAATGGGATGTTTCATATTTTATTTTTATCTCTTTTCTGAAACTGTTGTCTCTGGTACCAGTTTTGCTGGCATAAAACTATGTTAGAAATTATTTCAGGACTTTTAGATGAACTTAAGGAGACATTAGTTTGGCAAGAAACTGCTTTTATGATGATGACTTTATTTCTCATAGTTTATCATAAACGTTTCTCCCAAACTCTTATTTTTCTGTTATTTATGGGCTGAAATTTCATGTGATTTTTATATGGTTATCTTCAGCTCTATTTTCTGCTTAATAGCTCATAACAGTCTATTTCCTTGAGGACAGTTTCTGAATTGCAATCGTGTTATTAATCATGCTGAGATTTTTTTTCTTTAATTCAAAAACATTTTCTGTAATTATTTCCTCATAGTTTCTACATTTCTAATATTTTTTCTTTTCTCTTTCTAACATATTCACAATTTCTTCTTTTTTTCTATTTTCTGTGCTTGTGAGTTTCTCATGCTGTATGATTATTTATGTAATTGGGCTGAAATTGTCACGTTCTGTATTAGTCTGCATTTAACATTGTTGTTTCTTTGCTAAATCTTTTATTTTTTAAAACAAATTTCATTGGTATTTTTAGTTTCAATATGGTGTTTGCAATTTTAGAAGACTCTTTTGGTATGATAGCGTATTTCTCAGCCATTAGTTATCAGTTCATTAATGCCTTCCTCAGTTATGATAGTGTTTCTGTCATCATAATCTTTTCCACTCGTTGGTTTCTTTCTTTCAAGAGTTTCAATTAAGATATTTTAAAAAAATTATGATTCTATCCGAAAAATCACGTTATTGGAAAAATAATAAAATATACATAAGAATAACATTTATAATAAAATTATCCACAATACCATCACACAGTAATAACCACTATAGTTACTATGAGGGGGACCCCAAAATCCTGGAATTATTGTTATTATTTTTTGGAGGTTAGGCCCCTTGTAGTATACTCGGAATTTGTTCCTCCAGATCAAATGGTCGGCCAAAGTTTTTAATCTGGAAGTTGTGAGAAGGTTGCACCACTATTTGTGGAAGAAGCATCCCAAATTGTGGCAAACAGGTGACTGATTCTTTCACCATGATAATACCGCCTGCCCAGGCTGCACTGAGTGTTCAGCAGTTTATGACAAAAAACAGCATGACCCTTGTGTCCCACCCTCCCTTCCTCTTCACCCAATCTTGCCCCAAGCAATTTTTGCAACTTTTTTTTGTTTCACTGGATGAAAAAGTCCTCAAAGGGAAACATTTTGCTGATGTGGAAGAGGTGAAACAAAAAATGGAAGAAGCACTAAAAGCCGTCAAAATTGAAAAGCTCAAAAACTTTTTGAGCAGTGGAAAGAGTGTCTCAAGAGGTATATTACATCAAACAGAGACTACTTTGAGAGTGATTGAAGTTTAAACATGTAAGAATAAGTGCACACTTTTTTATAAATAAATTCCAGGGTTTTTTTTTTAGCCCCCTCCTTGTATACTTTTTAACCTAATAATATGTTATGAGCATTTTTCATGTCATTACTTATATTAATTGACACATACTGTTCTGTATTTTGTTATGTGAACTAACCATTATAATAAGTAATTTCCTCTAATGATATATTTATGTTGTTTTATATTTTCATTATAAACAGTACTTTAACATTCTGCACTCTCTTTGCAAATATATTTAATTATTTCCTTAGAATTATCATCTATATTCCTATTTTATAGAAATAAAATAGGAATATAGATGATACATTAAATGATAGATAAATATCTAAGTTGTTTTTATCTGCTTATTTTTGAAAATTATACAAATAGTCTTTTTTGTTGCTCTGCTTCTGACATTTCTTTTTCTTCCCTGTTGATTTGGTTTAGAGAAGATGCCCTGTAATGTTACTTCACCATCTTTCTAAGAACTGTGTGAATTTCTGTTTTTAAATGTGTTGGTTCTAAGATTTTTTCCTGATAAATATTACAATCAAGCAATTTTTTTCTATCATTTTTTTGTGGTAAAATATTATGATCAAGCAATTTTTATTTTTTTCCAACCATAAAAAAGTTTTTATTTCTAACTAAATTCTTAACTTTTTAGAGTTTTATGTGGTAGATCATTAGCTGGACTATTAAAACCATTCTAATTAAAATCATGCTTATAGTATTATAGTTTAAAATGTTAATACAAATTTATACTATTTTAGAAGGTAAAAAATATTCATAACTCAATAGTTTTGTCATGATACACCAAGAATATCACTGCTCATTTTAAATATTTTATAAAGAAACTAACCAATTGTGTTGGCTTTGTTTTTAAAGGTATTGATTAATCTTCGCAACCCAAATTATGAAAATGGTGATTCTCTTAGTTTTAGGACTCATTTGGGCTTAATCCAAGTTCCTCTGAAAGTAAAAGACATTCCTGAATTGGTAAGTATAGACATTTAAAAATAAATTAACATATTTCAGAAGACAACCATTAGAAAAATGCTTTAGTACAGCATGTATCTAAAGCAATAGGGTAATCTACTTATTCAACAAATAATAAAGTGACATTTATTTTCTATTGCAAATATGTATATAGAGAGAACGAATTGCTTTGCTAATAGTTTGCATTGACTTATAAATGCTTTCACTCACTCTTCATTTTAATAAACAGCATAGATTTATGAGACAGCTTGTTGGGATTGAGGTCCCTGATGTATAACTGTAAAACTGATTGAAACAAGTTGTGAGTTTTATAAAATTATTTCTAAAAGAACATTTTATTTAATTCAGCCAACTTTATGGAGCTCATAACATGGTGAGGCACTGAGGGAGATGGGGAAAATAAGAATGAATTAGAGACTGTCTGTAGTCTGGAGACCATCACATTTTGGTGAGGAAGTTAGTTCTCAAATGAACTGTGGGGAGATTTCCTGATGGTGAAGTTAGGAACTTACCACTTCTTTTTTAAATCACTCTAAAACAGTAAGGAGCACAGCAATGTAAGTATTTCATTTGGTGAAACTAGGAAGCAACTTGTGACTCTGAGCATTAATGTATTATGTCTGAATGATAAATGATTTAAATAGGGGCAAAGAAGGTCAAACCTAAATGCCTCTAAAAAATGGAAAGTATGTATGAGAAGTGTTCAGATAATGAATTTATTATCTTTCTGCTCTAAATCTACCTTAATTCACTCTGCTTTGGTTTAGTAGAGCTGGACTCTAAACATTTCTCTCTTGCCAGCTGGCCTGATGTTAGGCTTTGTCAATAGAAGATTCTGGAGGGACACTGTAAGGCTGTAGCTGGAGGAAGGGGCTTCTGTTCCTGGTTCCTGTGTGTGAGAACCAGTGGGTTAGCATGTATGAGGCTCAGTAACACTCACCTCAGCAGTCCTCAGTGGCTTAGTGCTGGCCTGCTCCTTTTGACAAGTTTTGTTGTTGTTTTTTAACCACTGGTCTACAAGTTCCTGTGTCAGCCGCTCACTCTCCATAGAGGTTTGAATCTCAGCCTTGAGGGCCAAGGGACCCTTTTCTGAGTTCTTAGTTTCTTGTGACTAGACACTGACTGATACAAGAAGAAAGATGATTTTCTCCATAGAACCTTAGAAATGCTCAAGATTTGGAGATACCACATGTTACAGAAGGCTATGGTGAACCCTAGGGCTGAAAATGCAGATTATGTGGAAGTTTGCATCAGGAAGAGTTAGATCCCCAGATTCCAATCACAATGCATACTCAGATTCCAATCACAATGCATACTCAGGTGACTCCTCCTCCCACACAGGAGACCTGAAGTATGTTCACTAGAGATACAGAATCAGAAAGGTTGTAGAATTAGAGACCTCAGTATTGAAAACAGGGATTAAATGAAAGTCCGCTGAATGGTGAGACTAACACTCTCATTCCTATGCCTTTTCTATTCCTATTCCTATTCCACTATGTCTTTCTCACCCTTCACCCACTGCTTTCTCAATCTTCATCAACTCTAGAATACCAGAGAAAAGAGACTAGCAGGATGTGGAGAATTCTTACAAAATTGCCCACCACACTCTATGTCCAATCCTTGCAGACAGTGCTTCCAGTCAGTTTTTATTGCCTCGTTCCTAAGTATAAATGACCAGACTAAGATACCTAGACACTTGAACTCTTCCCATTTGAAAGGCAGAGGCGAAAACTAAAGCAAAACAACAACAACAAAAAACCTCAGAAAGCAAAAAATAATAATAACCAATGTTGGCAATGACTGCTAATAGGCATTTCAGATTTGGATTTACATTCACACTTAGTGAACCAGGCACCAGATTCACTAAGATTTGTAGAATGAGATGGGACAGAAAACATAGCTTGTCAGTACACTAGCATTCCGTTATCAGGTAGATCATCACTGGGAGTTCTTACAGCCATCCAGATGCTACTTTCCAGCCCCCACAAGGAATGCACATAATAGAAAGTGACAAGGTCACATAGGCACAACATAAGGAAGTCTCATACAGAATAAGAACCATTTCTTGTAACGCATGTGAGCATAACTTCTAAGTCTTCTTAAAAAACATCATACGAGGTGGCCAAGCCATGTGTTTTCCAATTAATTTTTATAGCCCACTCACCGTTCTCCATTTCAGATGTAGTTTACTGGTCAAAGGTCATACTTATTTTAGCAAATAGCATTACTTAGTAGTATAGCTAGTATTCCTATAGCACTCTTTAGTACATTTTTAGGGCAACAGTGCCAGGAGAAGATAAACCCAAGGTCATTTACATTTCTTCCCAAAATAAGACTTTTAAAGAAACCATTAATATTTTCAAAGATAAGAGAGGATATTACTCATAAAATAAGAACAGAGTTTTATTAAAATAACAAAGCATTAGAGAATGAAAAAGAGTTTGTTGAACTCAAGAATATGATACACACACACACGTAAGAATTAAAAACAAAGCTGAGAAAATCTTTATCAAAAGAAGAGACACAGAAGAGAGACACACAGGGAAAATTCCTGTGACATGGAGGCAGAGATTAGAGTGATGCATCTATAAACCAAGGAACGCCAAGGATTGCCAGCAACACCCAAAGCTATGAGAAAATACATGGAATAGATAGATTCTCCCTAGAGCCTTCAGGGACAGTAAGCCTTGCTAATACCTTGATTTTGGACTTCCAACCTCTATAACTATGAGAATAAATTTCTGCTGTTTAAAGTTACCCAGCTTGTGATTTTTTTTATGGAAGTTCTATGAAACTAATATAATGTATAAAGCATGTGGATGGTACTTGAAATAGTAAGCAGTATCTATTAACCATTGCTACTACAACTTTGATAAAAATTGATTTTTTTAAAAAAGTATTAGAAGTCTTCTAAGTAGCGATTTGTACAAAGTGCTATGGCTGTACAGAAGGGGAAGTGGCAGGTTCTTCTCCTGGAAGTGGTAGAAGTCTTCTCAGAGGCATGTCCATTTGAAGCAGGTCTTAAAGGAGTTTGCTAGGTAAACTTCCAGGTAAAGAAGCAGGGAGAGGACAATTTAGGAAAAGATTCAGCATATGTGTGAATGGGACTAGTGTGTGTTCCGTCTATCTGAAGGGAACCTAAGTTGATGTGAATGCATTCTTTGCAGTTGGAAAACCAAAAGCCTGTGGCTAATTTTCTTTTCTTTCTTTCTTTTTTTTGAGTTGGAGTCTCTCACTCTGACACCCAGACTGGAGCACAGTGGCATGCTCATGGCCACCACTGCCTCAACCTGCTGGGCTCAGGTGATCCTTCCACCTCAGCCTTCCAAGTAACTGGAACAACAGGCACACGCCACCACACCTGGCTAATTTTTTGATTCATCATAGAGATGAGGTCTTGTCAACTTGTCCAGGCTGGTCTCAAACCCATGGACTCCGGTAATCCTCTCACCTCAGCCTCCCAAAATGCTGGGATTATAGGAGTGAGCCACTGTGTCCAGTTGCTAATTTTCAGTAAATGGTGCTATGCGTGCCAGGTATGGTTAGTCTTCTGCAGTCATGAGGGATAGTTGTCCCTGCTTTCCCTATATCATGTGGCCTGGTGATAGAATCATTCAGTATGCATGACTTATCTGTTACCCTGGTCTGTCTGTGTGCATACTGAACTTGTTGAGTCTCAGTAAGTCCTGTTATCCTGTAATGGATAGCCCTTAAGCTTAGTTACAATGTCATGCAGACTCATACACGTTAAAGGGAAATTCCTTATAACTAAGATTTATGAACTTTAAAGTGAAGTTATGACTAACTCCTGTTTACTAAGTCAGTCATGTGGAGGCAGCAGGTTGGGACTAGAGCTCAGTAGTGTGGTTCAGTGTTTATTGAATCCCTCTGCTGTGTCAGGCATCATGCTAAGTACGAGGGGGTGGTGTGCAAATGTGTATAAGAGAGAGGAACTGCAGGCTAGTGAGGAGGTGGACAGTAAAACGACAATTTCAATATGATGTGATTATTTGCTTGGAAAGAAGTTGATCAAGGATAATGCATGTATATGGAAAGTTGCTTATATCAGCCTCAAATATCAAGGAAGATTTCCTAGAAGGCATGATACCTGCGGTGAATTTTAAAGGAAATCTGAGATTAGGGCCCATACCCGCTGATGTTGAATAAAAAATAGTCCAGAACAATGAGGTAGAAAATGAATATTCAGAGTCCTGTTTATACTCCTTAACATGTGTTAGTAAAATTCTCCATTTTGATTACAGAACCTAATATCAAAGTGTTTATTGGGTCTAAGTTTCTTCTATAGTATGAGGATTAAGGTCATTAAAAAATTGAAATGCATTATCATTAACAATCTGATGATTTCAATGAAGAAGAATGTCTTAAAATAATGGAAGAGAGTGGTTGAAAATGGAAGAATAACATTAAATTTTTACCTTTCTGTCATTAAAAATTGGTAACATAAGATGCAGTGCTTTTTTTAAGTGAAGATAAAGTTTAGTTAAAAATTGAAATATAATGGTAGTTATTTCAAATCAATACAAGAATGAAATGTTTGTATGTGTGTGTTAGGCTGAATAACTGTCTTGTGAGGGATAGTAATAAACCAATAGCCTGAATAATAATAGATCATTAGAAAGGATTAAAACTAACTCCATGTTTTTAAAGGAAAAGGAAGTATGCTTTGAGCAATTAGAATAGTAACAAAACACTGAGGCAGATATTAATATAAATATTTAATTACTTAGGGCATAAAATAATGTGAATAATATGAGGTTTTTATATATTTTAAAAATACCAGACAAACATGATTATTTTCCCTAGACATTCCTAGATAAGTGGAGGAAGTCTGGAAAATAAATCCAATTTATTCTTATTTTAGCCGAGCACTTGATAGTCCAATTTTACTTAAAAATTAATTTAAGTTGTTTTGGATATTTGCAGTGTTTAGTTGACTAAGAGCTGAGTGTAGTATAGTACCATAGAAAGCACAGATATAGAATTATATTGGTAATTTTAGACAATGATTTTACAAGATAAAATTGGTAAATGCTATATATACTGAGCGTGTGTGTGTGTGTGTGTGTGTGTGTGTGTGAGTGTGTGTTTCAGGAAAGATTTGAATGTTAGTAGTTCTTTACTCAAAAGGGTAATTATCAGTCTTACCTTACTGATTAATTACCTAAAAAGACAAAATTAAGAACTATTTTTGAAAAAAAGCAATGGAAACACTCATATAGGTCAAAAGGCATCGAAGTAAACACTTTTTAAAGTTAAATTTAGAAGAAAGGAAGATATTATTAAAGGCTTCTCATTTAGAGAAATAAGTTTGTTTCTTTCCAATTATATGTATATTAATTATTCCTTAATGCTTATATCTTTTCTATTCATGTGTATTTTACATGAAAATAATAAATATTGCATAGTAATACCTGTAATGAAAAGAATTATGGTTGTTCTGTTCCCTAGTTTTGAATAAATGCATTATTATTTAGAGTCTATGTCTTTTTTTTGACATTTAAATGAAGCAAAGATTGATTTTACATTGTGATTTTTATTTACGCTAATGTTTAGGTGAAATTGATCTTTTAATATTCTACAACAAAGTCTGAGTTCTATGTTAATTCTGCTTATGTTATTTTTCAGAAAGAATGTTTTGCAGAACTTGGCTTAAACACAGGACAACTGGGTATAGATGATTCTACACAAGTGCCTCCTGGTTAGTATTTCTTCCATATGGCATACAATTAATGATAACTGAGAGTGAGTTTAAGAATCATATTGCTATTTCCAAATTACACTAGCAACTTTTTATATCTGCAAACTTAGCATACTTTTGCCTCTCTTGGTTACTGGTAATTATTGACTAGAATCCTATATGTTATAATTATCAAAGCTCAACTAAATTTTGTCTTTTTATTTGAAGTTCTTTAATTTTGAAAACTCATTAGACATATCTAAGTTATTTTGTTGGCAGGATCTCCTTTGGCAACACTCATATTTCTCTTTCTTGGCCGTCACTATTTTTATTTTCATATCACCAAGTTGAGTGAACGCTGGCATCTACCTCAGGTAGACTTAAGCTTTAAAAATAGTTTTTTTAAAACTTTAATCATCCAGTTTCTCTAACTTTTCTTTTTTGTGTGTGTGCATACATTGAATGTGTTTTTTAAAAAGACCAGATTGGTATTTAACTGTAACAAAAATGAAATAAAAATTGACTTAAAGTTTGGAAATTCTGTATTATAGTGGAAATGATGCTAGACAGGGGTTAGGCGATTCTTCTCTGTCACTGGAAGAGTGACTTGGAAAAATCACTATACTTTTTTAGACTTGTTTTTAATCTAAAAAAATAAAGAAGTTGGCTATGTATTATTACTATTATAATAGTAATATTATATTATAATTACTATTATTACCACATAATAAATGGTTGTTGAGCAAGTACATACTATATGTTGCATAGACATTATCTCAATTTAACTTCTCAGCAACTCTGTAAGATATGTATTATTACCATTTAAAAAATTTTATTAATGTATAATGCATATAGAAAAGTACATATATCACAAGAGGACAGCTCAATGAATTTTTTTTTTTTTGAGTTCAAGTCTCACTCTGTAGCCCAGACTGGAGTGCAGTGGCCGCTCCCGGCCACCGCAGCCTCAACCTGCTGGGCTCTGGCGATCCTTCCGCCTCAGCCTTCTGAGTAGCCGGAATTACAGGCATGCGCTACCATGCCCAGCTGATATTTTGATTTATTGTAGAGATGAGGTCTCGATGCCCAGGCGGTCTCGAACCCTTGGGCTCAGGCAATCCACTCACCTCAGCCTCCCAAGGGCGCGGGATTACAGGCTGAGCCACTGAGCCCGGCCAGCTCAATGAATTTTTACAAATTGAACACACCTATCAAGCTATCATTCAGAACAATAAAAAGAAGCACCTCTTTCTATCCTCTTTTATCTTTACCTCTGATTTCAAAGATAACCACCATTCTGATTTCTAGCAGCATTGAGATTCGTTTTGCCAGTTCTTGATCTTCATATAAGTGGAGGCATACAATGTATTTCTGTGGTGTTTAAACTTCTTTTGTTCAAATTATGTTTGTGAGTTTCAGCTTATATTTATAAATCACTTTCTTGCTTTCTAGTGTTCCACTGTATGCATATGCCCCACACATTTATTGATCTATTCTACTTTGGAGCTAGTACAAATAAGGCTACTATGATCATTCTTGTATGTGTCTTTGGTGAACTCAACATTCTGTTGAGTGTACACCTAGGAATGCATTTTCTGGGTTCTAGAGTTGATATATATTCAGCTTTAGTAGATAACTGCCAGTGAGTTTTCAAAAGCGGTCATACTTTACACTTCTACCAACAGTGTATGAGAGTCATAGTTGCTGTATGTCCTTACTAATGTTTGGTGTATTTCATCTTTTTTGTTTTACTCGGTCTGCTAGTGTATAGTGGCATTGCATTATTGCTTTGATTTTCTTATATAATGTGAGATAGGATTATTATCACCACTTAAGATGGTAGAAGTGAAGATGTTAAGTAGTTTGCTCAAGGTCACAAAGCTAGTAAGTGGTAGAGCCAGAATTCAAAACAAAGCCATCTGACTCCAAAGTCTGCTACACTATGCTGCTTCCTGCCAGCTTTGATAGCCTTTTCTTATTTTATAAGAAGTAAAAATTATAAAATATTGAATAAAATCTCTTATATTCATGGCAAGTGATAGCCATGTATAAGAAAAAGAAAGAAATTGTAACATCAGCATTGAATTGTATTTATATTTTTCTTGTATGTGTTTGCAACTCTGCTGAGGGCCAGGGTCAGGTGAATAACAGACATAAGACAGTCTTTCCTTTTAGGGAAGAAAACAGTGGTAAGTGACAGATAATATTCAGTGTGGTATTTGCTATTATTATATATAAAGGGCAGTTGGAGCAGATGAAAGAATAACTAAGCCTGCCTGAAGGAGGTTGGTAATCTCTTAGTTGATATGGCTATCTTTTTCCCTCTACTTTTCAAAGTAGGACTGCTAAAAATTGGGTCAAATTTGTGCTCATCTGATGAAATTGTTTTTGTGGTATAGAACTTGAATGTTTGTCTGACTTGTGAATTGCGAGGCAACAGTATTATTTGTAAAGAATAGGATCATATATAACTATTTTTGCCTAGAATTCCTTATTTTTATTCTATGTCTATGGTTTTGGTTGAATTGGAAACGTAATGACAATGTTTGTAAGTGTTGCTAATACTTGTGCTTGGTTAAAGACAAGTTTTAAATTTAGAATGAAATTTAAGTATGACTTACAGGACTCATGTTCTTCTTAGTCATCTTTAGCACTTGTGTAACCTATGTTTTGTCATTACTATTATTCAATTATTATTGTATTTGAAGTGCTTTTCTCACTAATGTATCAGATTTTATGTAAAAGTCAGGAGAAAAGCCTGACAACAGTAAAATAACAACAATGGTAAAATAACAACAACAACAACAAACCATTAGTCCTAGCCATTATTTCTACAAACTCTCATGAGCATGCATTTGTTTTAAATACACAAACACACACACACACACACACACACACACACACACACACACACACACACACACACATGCACACACATACTATGGAAACCATTTATAAGCCTAACGTTAACTAAGTGAGCAGGATCAGCATCTTTCATAAGACTTCATGGTAAAGGGGGTGTTATATGTGTGACATGATTATCTGAGTATACTAATAGTGAATCTTATTAGATGAGGGTTCTGCTGTATAGACATTTTCTACAGCCTGTTATTTCTAAAAGTAAAAAGCATCTTCAGTTTGTGTAGCATTTCCAGAAATGTGTTCAATGGAACACTTTTGAAATTCCCTGTGAAAAAGGGAAACTTCTTGTCAAATAAGGTTTGGGAAGGGCTGTGCCAAATACCCTCTTAAGTTATACAGTGTGTGTTACTATCTTAACGACTAGGAAGTCTTAAGTAAATTATTTTAGCTTAGCATCTCCCAAACTCATTTTAACAAATACCCTTCCCCTCCCCCCCCACAAGCAAGATCTATTAATATAAATGCATCTATTAACATAGTACTCCTCAGAATACTCTGAGAAAATAGAATTAGGGTATAAATTGGAAATTCTGGTTCTGATTTCTTTGGGCTCTTTATGCTTGGTATAGAGAATAGCATTTAGAAAGCAAAATTATTGTTTTTCATATGACTTATTTACATTATTTAAAGAAATATTTTGATTATTATTATTTTGTACTGCTTTGGGTAATATATATATACATATATATTTTTGAGTTGGAGTCTCACTTAGTTACCCAGACTAGAGTGCAGTGGCCGCTCCCGGCCACCGCAACCTCAACCTGCTGGGCTCTGGCAATCCTTCCGCCTCAGCCTTCCAAGTAACTGGAACTACAGGCGCGTGCTACCACGCCTGGCTAAAATGTTCTTTTTTCAATGAAAATTATAAATATAAAACATTTTTTGAAATATTAGGAGAAGGAAATCTTGAACTGCATAAAATTACACTATTTGAAATGGACATAAAAGCATCATAATGTGAATTTTAAGAAAAATTTTAACTTAGTCCTTAGTCAAGGAGCATGAACAAAATAGGCCAATTTTGTAATGTGCTTATCAAAATAACTGATAAGAACCACTTAATGGGGTTCTATATGAAAACTGTCTCCAGTACCTGTAATATACTTTGTCATTCTCTAAAAGTTTTTTTGGACTAACTCAGCCCTACTCTAATGTGCTGCATCTGCCATCTCATGCTATTGCAATATTCACTAATTCGTTGTCTTCTTTGGTTACTATGCCTCGGCAATAATAGCTAATTAAAATGAAACTTTGTTATTTTACATACAATCTTTAAAATAAATATATTTAAATACTTTAGTGGTAGAAAATGATTTATGTCAGTAGGGATCCCAGGTACTTTCCTTGGTCATTGTATAATCTGTTCAAGTAGTTATATCAGAGACATTAGTTAGAATAAAAGAATAGGGTACTCTTGTTCAAATATTCTGTTTATTTTTTTAAAACCCAACTTTATGGATGATTTTTTTAAATCCAAAAAATTATTCAGTACTGAAAATATGTCAGACACATTAACTTTTCTTTGATTAAGAAAATTCTTTTGATTTTGCCTTAGTGTTACAATTTTATATACTAAAATTAGATTTTTAAAGTGTTTCAGTTAACAGGTAACTGGCTGCTTCTGTTATTCATTGTTGGAAGTCATGATGTAGTTTGGTCTACATTTAGATGCCCTTGGTTTACACAAATTCTGCCCTGGCCTATTCGTCCCTTTCATCCTAGTAACGTCCATCTCTTCCCCTCTTCTCAAGAGAGCTATATATACAAAAAACAGTAACAAATGGAAGACAGAAGTACAGTAACAGTACCAGCTGGGCTAAAGCTGGACATCACAAAATAGACTTTCTAGAAAACTGTGTTAAAATCTTAGCCCAGGACAGGTCTCCTGCTACTTCAATACCCAAATCTCACACCAGCAGGCAGCTGAGCTATACTTGATAAGAACTCCAGAGTGCCTGAGCCTGAGCATTCTTGTCAGAAGAGAATCAAGTACCAAGATGGCTGCTATGTTGCCAGGGAACCCAGGCTTTACTTACCGAGAGAGTCATAAGTAAACTCATGACCTGTAACACACAGTTAACTCATTCATTAGAAAAGGTTGCCTGATTGCTTTTGTGGAATCTAACAAATCCAGTTAGCAACTACTCCTGTTTCAGGAGGTGGGGATAAGGAGGAGGAAAGGAAGTTGAGCAATTGATTTTCTCTGGGATAGAGGGTAGGGAAAAGATCTATAATTCTTCTCTTCATGGTTTTATAATCTTTTGTTTTGCTCTAATTTTAAAATAATTTTTATAGAAGTATAACATACATACTGAAAAGTATACAAATAGTAAATATGAGGGGGTTTCAAAAAACCCCAAAGTTTATTTATAAAAAATTGTCTATTTTTATATGTTTAAATCTCAGTCACCTTCAAAGCACTCTCCCTTTAATGCAATACACCTATCAAGATGTTTTTTCCACTGCTCAAAACAGTTTTGGAACTCGTTGATTTTGCTGTCTTTTAGTATTTCTGCTGTTTTTTTGTTTCACCTCTCCCACATTAGCAAAACATTTTTCTTTGAGAACTTTTTTCATCTGCAAAGAAAAAGTCACTTGGGGTGAGATCCAGTGAATAGGGAGAGTGGGGCATGGAGGTCATGCTGTTTTTGGTTAAAAACTGCTGAACACTGAGCACAGTGAGAGCAGGAGCACTCATTAATCACCCATCATGAAATGGCCAAATGCACTGAAAGAATCTCAAAAAAAAAAAATTCACTAAAGCCACATGTAGCCTCTCACAACAACATTAGCTGGTACACTTATGCCAATGGGTTTCTAGAACACCCACCTAGGGGTTACGCCTGTGTACTACAAGGGATCTGCTCTCCAAAAAAAAAATTCTGGATTTTTTGGGGGACCTTCTTCACACACAGATCTGCTAACATACTTGTATAACCTCCAACCAGATCAAGAAACAGAATATTACCAGCATCCCAGAAGCCCTGTTAAGCACACATCCAGACTCTATCACTCCATGGGTAACAACTATTTTGATCTCTGACATCATGAATTAGTTTTACCTGTTTCTGTACTTTATAGAAATGGAATCATATAGTATATATTCCTTTGTGTGTGACCTCTTTTACTTTTGTTTGTAATATCCATAGTGTTGTGTAGAACTATAAATAATTCATTCCCATTTCTGTAATATAATCTTTTGCATCAATATACCACTGTTTATCTAGTGTACTATTGATAGCAATTTGTTTCCACTATTTGGTTATTATCAGTAGTGCTGCTGTGAATATTCTTGTACATGTCTCTTGATGTGCATATGTACATATTAGGGTATACACCCAAGAGTGAACTGTCAGTTGTCATAGGATATGCATATGATCAGTGTTAGTAGATATTGCTGAAGTTTTCCAAAGTTGTTTTACCAAGTTACACTTCCCCTGGCTTTGTATGAGAAGTTCATATGCTCCATATCATTGCATTTAGAATTGTCCTTTTTTAAAAAATCTTATCCATTGTGGCAGTTGTGTATTTCATAATGGTTTTAATTGCATTTCTCTGATGACTAATGTGGGTGAGCAATTTTCATATGTTTCTTAGTCTTTTAGGTCACCTCTTAGCTGAAGAAACTCTGTTCAAATACTTTGCTTTTTTGTGCCTGACAATTGTCTATTTTTTTCTACCAGGAGTTTTTTTATGTATCCTGGAATAGGAGTCCTTTGCCAGATATATGTATTGCAAATATATCCTTTCACTCTGTTACTTACCTTTTTATTCTCTTTTTTTTTTTAATGAAAAGAAGTTTTTAAAAAAATGTTAATATGTTTATGAGTCTTTTTCCATTATGATTTGTAGTTTTAAAAAATTAATTCTCCTCATATAATCTTTTAAAATGGCACTTGTACCTATATAGTAGGAAGGTTTTCATTAGAAATACTTGTATTAGATATTCATTGGTTAAATTAGAGTGGAAATAGGACTTTGTAAATGAAATTGTCAACAAATTTGTTTTTGTTTTTGTTTTTTTTTTTTTGAGTTGGAGTCTCACTCTGTCACCGGCCACTGCAGCCTCGACCTGCTGGGCTCCGGCGATCCTTCTGCCTCAGCCTTCCAAGTAGCCGGAATTACAGGCATGTGCTACCATGCCCAGCTGTTGTTTTTCTTTTATAACAAAATTAAAGACGAATGGACAGAAATATTTTCGTGTTATTAAGAATATATTCTGTTTTATGATAACATAGGAAAAATTAATTCATCAATTTTTTTCTCCTGATTAAATGCCTTTTACTTTTTTAACTTTTACACACTAAACAATTCAGAAAAAATTTCATATGCTTAAGACATAGATATTCTTGTAGTTTTCTATAGAGCCATCCAACTTTTAAAATAATTAATTAAAAATATCAATACCAGAAATTAATGTACCTAATATTATTCTATATGTGGTTGATCATCTTTGTGCCTAATAATTTATTTTCATTAACATTTCTAGAACTTTTTGAAAATGAGCATGTGCGTATTGGGCAAAAAGGTAAGCTTTTAATTATATTTTTTATAATTTCTGAAAAACGAGACAGTCCAGGCAATTATCTACCTCAAATACTTCCAAGTGAAATTCAATCTCTGAAAAACTAAAAACCTAAAGAGGAAAAAACCTAAATAAACCTAAATAATTAACCACATAGATTATATAACAGAATTCTTTTAAAAGAGGGAAAATGCATCATTTTAGGTTTTTCAGTAAACGGTAAATAAAGAAGTACACAGCTGGCTCACTAAAAAGGAAATGTAGACATACATTTCTCAGGGATGTTAGCGTAATCCATTCAGCATTAGAATTTCATTTCAAAATAAAAGAGGCAGGCTGTCTCTTTGATGCACTCACACAGCTCTCATTAGAGTTAATGGGAATATGTCTTTGCATCAGGACAAAACATAACTGTAACAGTTCCTGATGACTGGTCACAACAGAAAGACTTAATAACTAATGTGACTCCTAGTATTCTGGGAATAATTTTTTCCAGTCTTTTGAAGATTCTCTTCCTTGTTTTAATAAATTCTGTTTTGTCTTTGAAATATGAAGTACAGATTGGTCTTTGTGTCAGAATAAAACTCTGTGGCAATTATATTGCCATGTGCCAAGCTCTTTAACTCAGTTTTGCAAAAATCATATTTATTTAGAAAACTTCATTTGTATGAATTGACACTTTCATTAAGTGCAATTACAAATTAAAGAATATGCTTCATCTCTTTTTTATCTTCATATGATCCCTTTGTTTCTTCTGCTCATGTCATTTACATTTAGTATAAGATTTTCTCCCTTTTTTTAAAGGAGAAAATATAAGAAAAAAATACTGTTAGATAGACATCAGAGTTGTCTAGTATGTCTTTGTTTTGTTTCATTTTGGTTTTGTGGCCTCTATTTCCAATTGAATAGCTGATATTTTCATTAAAGAAGATAAAAATGAAAATGAAAGCAAAAGATATTTTAATTTTGTGAACTCAGCAGCTTACAACAATTTTGACGTCCCCAAAATGTTATCAGATCTTTTGTGTTTTTACTTTTTTAAAAGATCACTCTTTTCTGTTGATTTTGACAACAGCTAAAAAGTCATCTAACTAAATAGCTATCTTAAATCCTTATATAATTCTTAGCTATGATGCTTTTTGTACTATAATACTTCCAAATATTAGACCATCCATGAAAGTAGACTATGGATAAGAAATTTGGAGTTTCTATAGATACCCGATCATGGAATTCAAAAATTATTTTACATGTATACATTATTAGTTTCCATGGAGCTATTTTTAAAGCAAAGTGATCTCAGGGTCCCTACAATAAGATGCTTTTTCCAGGTTGGGTAGGAGGTGTAAGAGCTTAAGGCTTGAAACCTGGAGGGCTGTAAATAGGGCCATATCAAAATTTGGAGAGTAAAAAAAGATTAAGATATAATGTAATTATGTTAGTCATAAGGACTAAATGTCAGCTTCCTAAAAGACTTATAATTAAAGATTTCAGTGATATTTCTTACATTATGAATTGTCTGATGAGATTTTAATAATCTTTTGACAGTTCTAGCAGAGCAAGATAGTGCTGCTGCTCAGCAATACGTCAGACAAGGAAGCCCCACAGCACTGAGAGCAGAACTGTGGGCTCTCATTCTGAATATTTCCAGTCAGCCTGAGGTAACAAGAACAAAGAATGGGTCAACTTTTAGCTGCTAATATTTGTTTTTCAAAGTATTCATAGAAAAACCATTTGTTTCTTAGTCTTTTTTTATGTTTTCAAAATGACTGTAATTTTGGCTTCTAAGGTAAGACAACATAATTTAATCACTATGTTTAGTAGAGAAATTTTTCTTATTCGTAATTAATGAAATTGTGTGATTTTTTTTAGTTCTGTATTAATATTTTTTAATATCACAGTTTAATCTTTAGAAACACAAATAAGTTTTTTCTAGTTATAGCCAACTTGATCACATACACAATTTCTTTATACAATTCCTCTTCAATAACCTTTTTATGATTTACTCAGACCATTGACAATATGATTGGACTTTTTTGCTTTGTCTTATACTTTAAAAAAATCAGTCATTTTACTTTAGGACAACAACTTATCACATAAGATTTTTAAATCAAATTTTAAACTTTTTTTTAAACCAAAGTACATTTTTTTTACTCATCACTTTTTTTTTTTTAACATTTCTCTTTCTTACTACTGATTTTTAAAAAACATTTATTATTTTAAAATTCTGGAGTACAGTTAAGGGTTAGGTATACAAATATTCATTGTGCGGGTACCCTTGTTGATGAGGTATGCCCCCCTTTCCCTAGACAGATATTGACTACCATTAATCCTACCTCCCTTCTCCTCCCTGTCCCCACTCCCATAGTTTCCTGCCACTGTCCATCCTTTTCTTTTAGTATTATGGTAGTTGTTCAAGGTTCACTTATGAGTGAGAACATGTGATACTCAGATCTTTGATTCTGTGAGAGATCACTCAGTATTATAAACTCTAATTCCATCCAGGTTGCTGCAAAATTCATGATTTTGTTCTTTTTTATGGCTGCATAATATTCCATTGTGTATATGTACCACATTTTTAAAATCCCATCCTCTTTTGATGGGCAGCATGGTTGGTTCGATGATTTTGCTCTTGTGAACAATGCTGTGATAAACATACATGTGCAGGTATCTTTTTTATGGAATGATTTGAGTTCTTCAGGGTATATTCCCAGTAGGGGGTTGTGGGGTCATATGGAAGGTCGATTTTTAGAGCTTTTAGGAATTGCCACACTGATTTCCACAGAGGCTGCACTAGTTTACACTCCCACCAACAGTGTGGAAGTGTTCCCTTTTCATGACATCCTCTCCAGCATGTGCTATTTTTTGAGTTATTGATAATGGCCATTCTGACTGGAGTTAGGTGGTATCTCAGTGTAGTTTTAATTTGCATCTCCTTGAGGTTGAACATTTCTTCATGTATCTGTTGGCCACTCGTATGTCTTCTTTTGAGAAGTATCTGTTCATATCTTTTGCCCACGTTGTAATGGGGTTGTTTGTTTTTTTCTTTTCAGCATGTTTGAGTTCCTTGTAGATCCTAGATGTTAGGCCTTTGTCAGACATGGAGTTGGCAAATACCTTTTCCCATTCTGTGGGCTGTCTCCCTGCTCTCTTGATGGTTTCTTTGGCTTTATAGAAGCTTGTCAGTTTAATGAAGTCCTACTTGTCTATCTTATCTCTTATGGCCCATGCATTTCAGGTTTTGCTCAGGAATTGGATTCCAGTTCCAACTTCCATAAGGGTGTGTCCTGCATTTTCTAAAGTTCCTATGGTTTTAGGTTTTACATTTAGGTCTCTGATCTATTTAGAGTTAATTTTTGTGTATGGGGATAGATAGGGGTCTTGTTTGAATCTTCTGCATGTGGTCAGCCAGTTTTCTCAGCATTATTTACTGAATAGATTATCCTCTCCCCAGTTGTGGGTGGTGGAGGCTTTGTTGAAGATGAGTTGGTTGAGAAATTGAGGTTTTGCTTCTGGAATCTCAATTCTAGTCCATTGGTCTATATGCCTGTTCTTGTACCAATACCAAGCTGTTTTGATTACTGTAGCTTTATAGTAAAGTTTAAAGTTTGGTAGTATGATACCTCCTGCTTTATTTTTTTGTTGTTGTTGTTGTGTTTTTTTTGCTGAGGATTGTTCTGGCTTTTCTTGGTTGTTTGTGTTTCCATATGAATTCCTGTATTGTTTTTTCTAGATCTGAGAAGAATGTTGCTGGTAATTTGATGGGTATTGCATTAAATCTGTAAGATTTAAATTAGGTAAGATGGACAGCTTCACAATGTTGATTCTTCCAATCCATGAACATGGGATATTTTTCCACTTGTTTGTGATATCTTTGATTTCTTTGAGCAGTGTTTTGTAGTTTTCATTGTAAAAGTCTTTCACGTCTCTGGTTAGGAAGATGCCAAGGTATTTCATTTTTTTTGGTGGCTATTGTGAATGGAATTGTGCTTTTTATTTGGTTTCTGTTTGTTTATTATTGGTGTAAAGAAATACGATTGTCTTTTGCACATTTATTTTATACTCTGAGACTTTGCCAAAATCCTTTATCAGTGCAAGGAGGCTTTAACAGATTCTCTTGGGTTTTCAAGATACACAATCATGCCATCCACAAAGAGAGATAACTTGACTTCTTCTTTTCCTATTTGGATACCCCTGATTGCCTTCTCTTCTCTGATTGCTCTAGCCAGGATTTCCAATACTATGTTGAACAAGAGGGGTGAGAGTGGGCATCCTTGTCTTGTTCCAGTTTTCAGGGGAAATGGTTCCAATTTTTGTCTGTTTAGGAGTATGCTGGCTGTGGATTTCTCATAGATGGCTTTTACTATTTTGAGGTATGTTCCATGTATACCTAGATGTTCGAGGGTTTTTATCAAGAAGGGGTGCTGTATTTTATCAAAAGCTTTTTCTGCATCTAATGATATAATCATGTGGTTTTTGCTTTGACATCTGTTGATTTTTTAAATACATTTATGGTCTCGCAAATGTTGAACCAGCCTTGTGTCCCAGGGATGAAGCCTACTTGGTCATGATGGATGATTTTTAAGATGTGTTGTTGAATCCGGTTTGCTAGGATCTTGTTGAGAATTTTAGCATCTATGTTCACCAAAGATATTGGCCTATAGTTCTCCTTTTTAATCTCTCCATTAATGTCTTGATATCTGGGCTTGTAGTTTGAGACCAGTCCTTCTGGGGCTCTTCATTGTTTGCATTCTGAAGTCAGTTTTCTCAGTGTCTGTCCTCCCAGGGATCTGTGAGAGACCCATATTCTTCTGGTTTTTCTTCATTTGTGTAGATTTTTCTCTCTCCCTTTCCCTCCCCTTCTTTAATTCTGTTTTTCAGGGAATGTGGGGTTGCTTTTACTTCTTTTTGTTCAGTTTCCTTTTCTTCCTTATGACCGTCCTTTGGCTTTGTTCACTTTTGAGGCTGAACTGTATGTTGAGGCTGTACTTTTTTGCAGTTTTGAGATTTAATTGAGGGGGAAGCTGTGATTCACAATCTATTTGCAGATCCCAGTATCCACCAATAGGTGTATGGGCACACTGGAACTCACTTCTCACTGCTTTACAATCTGTCCATGTAGTGGGGTTTAGGTTTGCTCCCTGGAACCAAAGGAGGTAAGAAAAAGGAAAATAATGGGGCCGGGGGGGAGTCAAGAGGAAGTTGGAGAGAGACAAGAGTAAGAGGGAAAACAGACATACATACCAACTAATGAATGAAAAGAGACACAAGGCCAGAAAAGAGTAAAAAACAAACAAAAAACAAAATTCCCTAAAGCATACTGGTAATCACACAAAGACAGTCCAGTAAAATCATGCCTTTTGATGTGCTTTTCACCAACACAAAGAAGTAGTCTAAGTCAAAAAGCAAACAAAAGTGAGCAAAACAAACAGTCAAAACAATAAAATAAAAAATCAAAATCAGAAATCAGACTAGCTCTGGAGTCTTTCCTGAGTGTCTAAAGTCTCTTTAGCTCTGATCTCTACCCTCTCCCCTTTGCAGGCAGATATACTTACTCATAGGTTAGGTTGGTTTCCTTGACTTGCTGCCTGATTGGTCTACTACAGGACTGGGTTGCCTGTGTCTGATTCAGCATAGGGGAGGACATTTTGTCTCCTGTTTGGCAAGGTTATCTTAGAAACTAAGGTGTAGGCTGCTCGTAGATTGGTGGGGCAATGGAATCTCTGCCTCGAAAATGACTGCGGTGGGCGGCTCCTCTTTCGCTCATCCTTTCTCTCCACTCTTCTTTTCTCTCTACTCGTCTTTTCTCCCCACTCGTCTTTTCTCTCCACTCGTCTGGTCTGTGGATGATATACTGTGATGGTCTATGGTGGTGTGTGTCTGGCGTCAGGCACTGGGAATCAGCGATATAACTGGGTGCTGCATTTGGTGTGCCACAGCAGCTTGGGGTCAGGGAGGGATCCTGGAATTCCCTCCTGCCGGAGCGGAGAGCTAAGAGCTGAGAGTGGTTGTTCAGCACCTCTTTAAGATGTACTGTTCCCTTACACAACCATGGGGTCTTAGCTCCCAATTTGGAGGTTAGGCAGAGCTGGGTGGGTGAGTCACTGCAGGTCTCTACCTGGTCACAGGGCTCCAGCTGTTCTCTGGTCTGCTGTAGTCAGGGGCGAGTTGGGGGAAATGGAAGTAGAGTATGAGACTGCTGGGCACCTCAGCCAGAGTGGGGACCAGAACTCCAAAGGGTGGGTGGTATGCGGTGGTAGTGGCTTTGGGCCCTGCGCAGGGCACTTCAGCCAGGAATGGAGCTGGTATCTCTGAGGGACGGGTGGCTAGAGCTTCCCTGGGTGACAGTGGCTTGAGATGGGGCTGGGCGGGACCGGAACCCAGGGCGGGGCCGGAATTCTGAGGATTGAGCACTGGCCACGGCTCTGGGTGCTTCGCCTGGGCAGTGGCGCAGAACCCGGAGGCTCAGGTGCTGGGGGCCTGCATGGGCAGCGGCGGCCTTGGGCCTGG